CCCGAGTTGAAACAAAAAGTAGAATTTTTTAAAGAAAGAGTTTGTCATGAAAAACGCGGGTCGAATAGTGAGTCATGGGCAGGCTACATAAGGGAAGAGGTCATCGTGAAGAGGATTCAATCTTTGTAGGCAAAAAATATACTTCAGCTAATTGTATTCGATTTCATCAATAATCAATAAAAATCACTCTATTCAGCTCGGTTTCGTGATATTCTCATTGTCTCCACAGATGAGCTTCCTGAGTGTCTGTTTTATTTGTTAGTCTTCATGAATAACCGCTACAGCATGTGCAGGAATTGACAATAGCGAAGAAGATGCAAATGAGAAGGATGAATGATTATTACTATTAAACATGTTGGTTTCTTGCAAAAGGTAAAGGAGATATATTGAGGAGGCTACATTTTACAATCATCAGACTCTGGAAAAGATTGCCTATTATATCTATTATGACATGTTAATCTTCGATATAGTATAGTATAACTCGTACGCATTTCTTCTGTTATCAGCCAGCAAGGAATAATGTAACGATCCCTTACTTGTAAATCTCTAGATCTGGCAAGGGCTCATACCCAATCAACATAAGGTTAAAACCATGAAAACATCTATCTGAGTCTTCAACTAGTTTTTAGTATGTTGAATCTGCTGGAGAAGTGCTGCTGCTAGCTGTAACGTTGCTTGCAGGCGCTTCTCTGGATTAGCCTCAGTTTCTTCATCTTCTTGGCTGTTGCTACCTTGTAGCTGTACATTTTGATTCCCTTGTGATACTAATTGAGGTATGCTTGGTGTCTGCACGTGCTGCAAATGGCTGAAACTTGCTCGAGCCTCTTGTGGCTGATTTGGAAAGTTATCTACTTGCTTTTGGTGTCTGGACAGAGAGGAAGCTAAATGTGTAAGCTGTTCTGTTTCATGATAACGACTTAGATCTGCATTTGGCTGATTCCCAGGAACAAACCCGCCATGATCTTGGACAGTATGATCTGTGAAGGGCTGCATCTGTGAACTTCTGCTGTTGGTAACTGACAAATCACGAGGTGGCCACTCCATTCCAGAATACCGGTGACTCAACTGCTCATGCTTGCTCTCAATGTATGGATCCATATGAGCAGTTGGAACATCTCGAGCAGCACTACGCAATAATGTTGGTGGACCTGGAATACGTGGGTTTCCAACATCAGGAAAAGCTCCGCCAGCCTCTGAATACGGTGTCTCACCATAATAGGTTAACAAGTCTTGATCTTTTCTCTCACCTTGCTGTTGAACAGGCCCAGATCCAGAACCACCGTGTTCTAATCGTAGAATAACCCCAGAGATGCTTAGTTTCCCAGGAACTTTAAGTACTTTTTCGGAGAAATCAGATGGAGGCACGAGGAACAACGTTGTTGTGTAATCCAATTTAGAAACAGCTGCCCGTTGCTTCTCCTCCAGATAATGCATGAATTCGTTGTAGAACCCAATATCAGCATCACTTCCAGGAACAAAGAAAACCACCCACGCTTCAGATGATTGGTAATAATGCTTCGCCAACATGTCTAAACCAGTTCTTGCTGTGCAATCTAGAAACTCAGGCCTGCATTTATAACCATAAACACAACATTAACTAGATCAACGAATCTCATCAGAAGTCTAAAATTTTTATAAACAAAAGATTAATGGAAATTTAGCTCTCTCAGCTGCTTGGACAATTAAAAGAAGAAATAGAGAAATTCAAGATGTAAAACTACTTACAGCATCATGTCCATCACTTTGCCAACGGGAAAGCATTTAGCACGACAAATGGGATTGCCTCCCTTCGCAATAGTCCCTTCCCAGTTCCAGTCTTTTAGTGACGGTCGCTTCAGTTCAGGGGTGTACCTTTTTCTTTCAGGGACAATTGATGGCAGAGAATAACCACCCAGTAACTCGTCATGTGGTTCTCGTAAGCTACTCCTTTCCCCGTTCCTTGTAGCCAGATTCAATGGCTGCTCAACCGATTCCTTGTATCTTAGCTGTCCAGCCTCATAGTTCCGCTCTTTTGGGGAAAAATCAGCAGATGCTCTTGAAAAAGAGCGTCTTTCTAGCTCTATACCAGAATACGGATGTCCTGGGAGCTGTCTCTCAGGCTGCACGGATCTTGTCTTCAGTCTCTTGCTTTCCTGGTAGTAGTAGTCTTCTTCGGGTAAACCCCATGGCTCTTCATACAATGAGCTCCTTGAAGGGAATCTGTGAGGATCATCACGGAATGACGAACCCATTTCCCTAGGACTATCCCGATATTCATGCATATCCTGAGGCAATTTATGTGCAGACCTCAACCTTCCATATGCAGGGCCTCCATCACTCCTCGAAGCTCCTCTCCTGTTAAACATGTAATCTTCAGAATCTTCCAAATCCCGATCTGCTATGTAATGTTGGTCCCTCGCACTGGGATTTCTGCTGATGCTTCCATAATTTCTATCCTGATGATAACCTTCTGAAGATCCTAGTCGATCAACAGATCTGTAAGGTGGAGAGCGAGATCGACTGGACGGACCCCTTCCACTGTTAGATGAGGAAGGTTCACTCTTTGCAAAAGAAATATGCACTCGAGGATTGCCAAATAATTTTCCCTGAAGAGTTTCTTTTGCATTACAAGCTGCCATCAGGTTCCGGAATTGAACAAATGCATAACTGCGACCAGGGAATACCGTGACCTTCGTTATTTCTCCGAATGGAGAAAAGACTTCCCTTAAGAGCACATCATCTACTTTCATCGAAGCCGGAAATCCTATATATAGTACCTCACTGGGCTCTGCATTTCTATCACTCATTTTTGATTTGCTATATGTGTCTGGGCTCTCAAAACGCATTCTGGAGTCTTTTTGGACAAATGGTGACCCTCTTGCTGCAGGCCGCTGTTCATCGTGACGATATATATCTTCTGTGCGTGATCCAGCCGATGACTTATCCTGCGATAAACAGTATCACGAAGACAGAAGTATTAACCAATGCCCTTCACCACTGCATGATCAAGAGTAAAAAAGGTTCTCAATTTTTAGAGTAGCCATATTGGCCTAAAAAGGAAAGTCATCGGCTTCAGTGCAACTCGTGTTTGAGTCATTAAAGAAGTAAACTGGGCGGAATAGCTAGCATTGGTGGCAAAGCAATCAAACAAACCTATCGTATATAGCCTTTCCATAAATGAAGAACACCCTTTGCCACAAGCAATATGGAAATAAATGTAAGATCAGAGGTGAAACCTGAAATTGCATTGTTGTTTGATGATCTCCTGAAAATACCAGTACATTTTATGCTAAATTGATACCATTCGAACCACTGGTATCAATTTTAAAAAGAAAACTAAAATATTGAAGAAAATTTGAAAAACACAAACACATGATGCTAAAAGAACCGTTGAAGTCCATGGTTCAAACAATAAGAATGAACATATACCTAAAGCCTTCACGATGGGCTCTAAATAGTTATGCAGCTAATGTCATCGAAAAAACAATAAATGCAATCCAGTTTCAACACCATCCCAGGATTGTTAACATCTAAAATATATTTCTATTCCTAACTTGGGGATAAGATGCCCAGCTAACACAGCTGGGTGGGGTGAAAGTCCACCAGGCAACAATTGTTGTGCAGCAGAAAATACACTTTACCTCACAGTTAAGAAAAGCTACTATGCATTACTTATTTACGATATACAGCAGATAGCAAGTCTTTAATCTATTAACCGTTGAAAAAAATCAAGAAATTTCTCTTCTCGAGCGATTAAATTTAAGCTAAAGAAGTATATCATATTACAGAAAAGAGAATCTAGCTCAATTTTTACAGCATCACCAGCCGGAGAGAATTTTAAGACATGATGGCACTGCACGCATGGCAAAATTTAACCATCATCACAAACAAACATCAAGCTTAAGACATTTGGCCATGTAAGTTCTTGTACAATCTAAAAGGCAATGAAAGTGATGGATTTATTGATATGGTACAAGGCTGGAATTGGTAACATGAAGCAATTGCTGCTATTGATCAATTACTCCAATGTCTATAAATAGATAACCACTTCAAAAGCATGCGTCTCTTTGGCATTTGGCAAGTTGAATAGGACCATAGGCAAATTAGGAAACATGGTAAAGATGAGACTGAACTTGACAAGGCCTCGAAACCATGGTGGGTTACTGACTTATCAAGTGGAAAATATGTCATCAACTGCTAGCTAACTAATGGTTTTGTCAGTAACTGTTAAGTCATAAGGATATAATGGAAGGTAGAAAAAGTTACTTGATCACATCATATAGATGCAATGTCACTCATCTTCATAACTACCGAGAGACAACTGAAGTCGTGCAACAACGCAATCAAATTCACATTAACTGGACTAATGCCAACATAATTCTATCAACTTGGGTCTATAAGATTTGAATGAATGTGGACCTGAAGCTGAAGCATAAGGAATCATCCAAAGTTTTCATGTAAACATCAACTCCGAGAGCCAGGAGCTTTCACAGATCATTTCTGGTTTCGTCTTTGTTAAAAGATTTTGGTTCAAGACTGGTCCACTTCTCTCCAACGCATGTAGATGTTCCTGGAATGCACTTGACCTCAAGTGAACTAAAAGAATATTTATCAGCGAAAGAAGAAAAAGCTCCAACTTGAGATCTACTACCAATTTCATACTATTTGCCATTCTGAATGCTTCTCAATGATATGGCTAAATGCTGGTGTTGTGAATGGTAAAGGTGAATGTTGTGTTGTTACACATGGATGCTTTTGATGTGGAGACATGTTTGATGGTAAAGATGGCCCGGATACAGTTTGATAGAGTGATTCTAAGCTTCCATGTATAGAAACCTAATAGTCAACGTAATTACTGAACTTTCACATTAAATGTGAAAGTAACTAACAGTAACGATTTAAAAGCTTACTAGACACTGTGTCCCTGATATAAATAAATAGCAGTGAGTCAGGCCTTTAAAGAGGATACACCGATGAGATACGAGCTTTATTTGTTTTGCTCGTTGCTAACTTCTATGAACTTAGACACCGATTAAAGTACCAGAAACTAATTAAAGCAGATAAAAGCTCACACCCTCGCCTCTTTTTCTATAAAAGCTCCTCTTAAACAAACATTTCCTTTCTAGATCGGTACTAGGTCAAACTACAACAGCAATTGTAGCATTCTAATTTCTTGATTTAAATAGCAGTGTGTCATGCCCATAAAGAGGATACACTGATGGGCATTACTTTGTTTCTCGTAGCTAACTTCTATGAACTTAGACATGACAAGGATTTCAGAGCAGTCTAATACAAAATGAGAAACTTATAAAAAGGAGATCAAAACTCGCATTCTCTCCTGCATTTCCATAAAAGTTCCTCTTAAACAAACATTCCTTTTTAGAATGGTACTAGGTCGAACTATAACAGCAATTGTAGCATTCTAATTCCTTAGTGAACACCTTACTCTTAAACATTCAAACAAGTTTGGTAATTTGCCCATTTCATAAAACGGATATGGTGTTCGAGGATTATGCCACTTCAAGTTAGCAAAACTGGGATTAGCTAAGTAAAAACCATGTTCTCACTAATCATCAGCCTCAAGAAGACTCAAAACTAATCCAAATTTCCATAGGCGAAGAAAACAAAAGAGTACATATACGAAAGCAACAAAACTCGTAAAGAGAAAAGCAAGCAATGAACACTAACCGCCTTTGCAAACTCGATCCTAAGCGGATTGCCAGCGAGTGGGAAACCTTGAAGCGACTCAATAGCAGCGAAAGCATCCTCTTCGTGTTGAAAGTTGATAAACGCGTAGCTTCGTGAAGGCTGAAACGCCAAACTCTCCAATTCACCGAACCTTATGAACTCGTCGGCTAGTTCTCGTTCAGATATACCATAAGTAAGGTTACCGACCCAGAGATGTCGTGACGGTGGATTCCTTCCTTTGTCTTCTTTCATCATCCTCTCTCTTCCTCCTCGAACTGACTGCAAAACACATACATCGGCACAAACAAGATCAGTCAAATGGTCACCGGAAAAACAGTAGAAACAAGGAGAGAGGGTTATAGAGACCATTGTAGCTTCCGAGTGGTTTTCCGGTGATCAGATCTAATGCGAGAGAGTAGGAATCGGAGATGTTTTCAGATGAGAATTCGCACCATCATCACCATCATCACTATCGTTTCACTTTCTCATTGTACTTGGAAGATTTTTTTAGGGCTACAAAAAAACACAAAATCCCCAATTCAATTCAATTCAATTTGTGTAACTTCCGCGGATCGGATCGTCCTCTTGGAAACGGCAATTTCATTACTCACGATAAAAAGTCGTTTTGTTATCAAAACCTGTCCAAATGTTGTTCGGTTTAAGGGTGAACCATCTGGTTTACAGTTTGGTTTCGTTTTGGTTTTTTAGTTTTACAAAATCTATGAAATCATTAAATTATTTCTATTTCGATTTCAGTTTGGTTTGACTTGAGTGTGGTTACCATATGTGACGCCAAAATTTCACAAGATACACCATTTAATACCATCTCCAACCTATTCTTTTATTTTTCACTTTAAAATGACGTAATTCCATTTTGGAACAAGGGTAATCTCCAACCTATTACTTCATTTTTCATTTCAAAAACAAATATTTTAAATATAGGGTAATTTGCAT